AATATTCCAACTGCCAGCCGGAAGGTTGCGCGTTCAAGACTCCCTACTGGGGCTTCGTGAGATGCTCACTGCTGATAATCCTCAATACGAATGCAAACAGCTGTCTTTTTGGCGTAGATGGACTTTACTCACACGGCAAAATTTCGACTGAAAGCTTCCACTTCCTCGGAGCTGCTGGATGGTTAAATTCATTGGCAGCGCTTGACCACATCGCTTAAATTATCTGGTAGACAGGGCCCGTAATAATTGCACAAAGAGAAACTGGATCCCGTCCCGCAGATCTCTTAGAGAACTTCGATAGAGAATTGTTACTTCGAAACTTTTCTTGCACTCATGCGTTTCAAACAACAGACAAAGCTCAGAAGTCGCTGCTTGAGAAAGAGTGACCGCTGACCTGCCTGCGAGAATGCAGCACTTCAGACTCAGCAAGCAATTCATCAGTCACTGGAAACTGCTGGACCATGACGTTTATGTTCATGTATTTTTTTTATCTATGAGTGTTCCGCTACGACAGGGTCCTTAGTTCAGCGAACCAAGAAGCACGAGTGGGACTGCCGAAAAATAGAGCGACCAGACACACAAGACAGGCAAACTCACCAGTTGGAGCAACGCAAACAATTTGTCGACGACTGACCACCCCTTTAACCACTTTCGCGCGCCAGTCAGACTTCCTTACCACCGAGTAGATGTTTCCGTTTTTCATAAAATGTTTTTAGCAAAACTGCATATACTACTTTATTCTGATATTCAGTTTCATCGTCCCAGTTTCCCATTCAGTCGTTACGAATAAGGATCGGACATTATGTTGTGTGTTTTAATAGATTTACTCCTTTGTTTTAACTCATCGGTCAATAATTCTCGTCGTGGGTTANNGGGTTACAAAACTCCAGACATCTGCTGTCTTATATTCAGGCTCATGACCTTTTACTTTCATCCACTTTGTCTGGTTTTGCAGATGTTGCTCATGATGGAAGAACTTTTTGGAAGCGTCAAGAGAGAAGATGATAAGCAAGAACTGCAGCTCATTCCAAACAGCATCTGAGTTTTTGTAGAAGCCCATGATTCGATTAATTTGTGCACATTTTCAACGAATTACAGACTCCTGGATCTTCACACACTCTTCTGTGTATTAAATCGGTCCTTTATCATCAACGGTATGGATGTTTTCCAAGGAAATCAAGACACACAAACGATTTGTCACTGATTCACCTTTACGTCGCACTCATTTCGAAGAGTAGTTTCCCCTGTCATGGTGCCATTCCGGTGGGATAATGAAGCTCCAAGAAGGGCTCGGGACTCAAGTTCAGAGCTCACTTCCCTTATCAAGGAAGGTAAATTTTCCAAACCTTGAAATTATTTAGAATCAGTGACTAATAATTTATCGATAAAACGTCGAAGGACTAAAATGACAACAAAATTATAGCCGATGGCTTATTTAACCACAAACTATCGGTTGTAGCGTTGGACTTGTGTATGACCCAGGGAAAACTGACAGTATATATGTAACACATTTAGGGGCCTGACAACACCA